CGGTGTCGAACGGAGAACCTTTAGAGCCGGGTTTCTGCCGGGTTTGCGGGGCCTAATCAGGAATAACCGTCGTATGTAAGCCTCATAGTTCAGCAACAGCATGACGAATATCAGATGACGAGAGCTGTGCATGAGGATCTGGGTCCATTGTGACGACTTTTAGCGCTGTTTACTGGCAGTAGGGCTTGGCTCAGTGGGTGCCCCTCACAGTAGTCGATATGAACAGGGTGGATGCTCGTGACTGTGCGAGTTACGGGGGAAAATTTGATCGAACGTGCTTTCTAAGGGCACGTTTTCATTCGATTTACATTACGTTATGGTTTAAGAAACGTATGCATACGCCATAATCGATTTCAAGCAGCCACCCCACTAATTGCACCCGAGTAGAAGAAACAAAAAACAAAAGCACACATTAAGAGTACGATAGAATTTTTCGCATTTGCCGCTCGTTTCTCAGCTGCTAACGCCTTCTAACGCTCCGGTGCGCCCTGTAATTTCGATCGGCCCTAAAGCACCTTATTTAAATACAGCTCTGGATTTCATCAGGAAAAGTGCCCACGAAAATGGCAGGCCTACTTTGTCAGCGCCTTTTGGCAGTGATGGCACACCCGGCCCTTTGTGACGTGACTTTTCACCCGAGCGCTCGCAGACAATCGCGCGCCGAGTACCCCGGCCCGGAGCACGCCCACTCGATCCTATAGAGCGGTGGAGGGCTGCCCTCGCCCCCGGCCGGGCACACTCTGAACCGTTCAGTCGACCCGGAGCCGCCCGAGCCGAAATGTTTGCACGGGGAAACTGGCCGTCGTGACCGAGCTCCGCCGCCCCTGTCGCCGGGAAGTCAGCCCGAACGATCGTAAAGCCAGGCACTTGAGTCCAAGTGCAACGCGTGGGAAGGGAAGAGTTGATGCCTGTCGGCGGCCACGGGTCGGCGGTGTGAACGGCGTGAGCAGCGGGGTCAGGAGGCCCGGCCGTGCGACCGCGCCGGCGCACCGCCATGACGGGTCGGTGACGACCCCGGCCGGCCGCCTCCACCTCGGGAAGCGTGTCACCGCGCCGGCGCCGCCGCCTCCGCCCCGCAGTGGCAAGACGTAACCGGGCCGCCGCCGACGAGCCCGCACAACGGTGCCGGTGGCTCGGCGGCGCGACCCGGAGCGCGCGCGCGCGCTCTGTCGCGCTGGCGAGCGCGGGCAGCCAGCCGCGGCGCCTTACTTGGCCGGGTCGCGGCGCGGCCGGCGGCGCGCGTGCGGGTCGGCGCGTCACCGCCGGCGGCCCGCCCGAGAGCGGCGGCCGTGCCCGCCGGCGCATGACGCGGTGGTTCTGGGCGACCTCCCAAGGCAACTGCGGGCCGGAATTGGCCGCGAGTTGTGCCAGCTCAGCTGGGCACACTGGCGAAGCCTGGGGTTCACCAGCGGTCCTGGAACATACGCCAACGGCTGTAAAACCTGAAGACGTCAGCATTTCCAAGCACGGCTGACGGCATTTATCCAGGATTCCTAAACCAACCTTTGCAAAGGTTTGCGGTGGGAAAGAGCCCACCAAACCGGACTGCTCTACGTCGTCCTGCAGGGCCGGAGCGGCGGCGTTCGCGACAGCGGCGTGCAATAACGCCGGTCGCCGACCCGGTGAGTCAGGCTATCACACGTCACCTGCACACGGACCTGCTGACAGTGACACGTGACCTGCACGGAGCCCGCTCGATGACTCAGGCCGCGCACCGCTTGGGCGCCGGCCGGTCCGGTCGCTGGTGGGCGGCGGCCGACGCTCGAAACGAGGCCAGCTCCTGGTCAAGTGAGGTGATATTCTAGCTTCCGGCAGCTTAATCAGGCTTGGATAAGAAAACGGTGAGAAACGAGACCAGACCGCACTTTCTACCAAGCCTTTGTTCGGTGAGTGAATGGTACGTAAGTTTCGCCGAGCTCAGTCTCTTGTTATTGAGCTTTGCTGAACAGCATCTTAAGTGCATCACAGCAGCTGCGAAGTGAAGAAATGATGATTAAAGTGAATGCACATAGCAGGCAATTCAGGAAAAGTAAAGGTTTTCCACACAAAGCTCAGAAGTGCAAATAAGGGCACCGTTTTATGCTAATGCTTCCAACTTTCGTTTCCTAAGCTCTTGTTCATCACTACACTGCACTTCAATACCTAACCCCATGTCCACTGGCGCCCCGAGATGGTACCGTACGTGGGACGGGCATGATATCATAAATCAGTAGGTCGAACACATCTGGTCTGGCCTTCCATCTGATCGTCTCGGAACAGTTGAGCTACACTCGTAAAGCTCCAGGTAAAGTACCTACATTCCGCACGTGGAGGCTGATGCGGCGATATGGGTTATATGTCCACCAGCTGGTGCCCACCCGAACACCAGTGGTCTGGTCTCAAAGCCAAGCGACGTTAAGGCCGGCAGTTTGTGGACGGGCGTCGCCACACGACGCTGCGACGCTGCTTCCCAGTCATGTAAAACGGACACTGGTAGCAGGGTTGTCACTGCATACTTTTGGGTGCCCGAACGCCCCGCTCAAAGGACTTCACTTTTTTCCTTAGACTCGGCGGAGTTCATGGAAAATTTCCCCAAAAATCCCTAAGTTGCATCGCCCCTGACTGATTGCACAATGCATCATATAACTGAGAACAGCAGTTCTGCTCAACAACCGACAGGCACCAAGCGCGGCGGCGCGTTCGCCAGCGGGCGACTGCAGCACTGCCAAGAAGCCATCACCGGAGACTGCAACGCCGCGTAGGCCGCGTGCGAGACCGCAGTGCCGCGCGCCAGCCGCCGCAGCGACCGCAGCCAGGCGCGATCCACAGCCGGCGACCACAGCAGCGCGTGACCTGACACCAGCTGATGGCCCGTCAGCCCGTGACCCGCGTGGCCCGGGGCGGAGACCGCGCGCCGCGTCGCGCTCGGTCTCGCCGGATGCCGTCGGCGGTTGGCGAGCCATTGTCCGGGTGTCTCGCGCCGCCGCCGACCGCGAGGACAGTTATCGGTCAGTCAGCTCAGCCGACCAGGTGACGTACCCATGGTGGCACCGCTTGACGGGTCAGCTGGGACCTGGGTCACATCAGCCAGAGGGTCGGGTCGCGGAAGGTGCCGGGGTTCCGTCGCGCTCGTATGGCCGTCTGTATCGCTCGCGGCGTTTCAGCGGCGTCGTGGGCTGCTTGTTTGCGTTTGGCGGATGAGGCCACCAGGCTGGAGCCAACAACAGACTTATTGTCCAGGGCTGATCGGTTGAGTTGCCAATTAGGTTCACTTATCGGTAATTTTTCAAAGACACAGCTGCTTATTTTAGCTCATTTCAAACGAGACTTTCATGACCAGAAACCGCAGAACAAGCTAGATTAGACGGCGGAAAACAAATAGGGGGCTTTGCTTATTAAATGCTTGTGTTTAGTAGACTGATAGCACGCCAAATGAATAGGCATATTTATTCATAAACTGAACGACGCAACTAGAACCGGACGTGGCAGGTCTCACCACCGTGTGCCATCAACCGGCCACCTCGGCACCGTCATCAAACGCTGCGACAAGAAACATCAATCATCCCCCCCCCGCGCAACGTGAACGCGGCCCATTACCATACCGGGCGAGAGATCACGGCGATCGCCAGGGACGGGGAGCTGAGAGCGCCGAGATAATGCGATGCACGATACACCGCCATCACATAGGCGGACTACCCAGCCCGGCATTACGCCGTGGCCTGCGCGTCGGGTCCATTACGCCAGATTAGGCGGCGCGGCGCTCTCGGGCGACTAACGGTGCCCGTTTTTGTCGCCGCTCTCGGGTGCTGTGCTCCGCAGCGTCCCGCAGGCACTCATGCGAGGCGAACCGCCGCCGCCGCAGGCGCCACCGCCCACCCTGCACTCATCTGAGGGCAAGGGCGGCCGGCCTTCCCGGGTCGCTCGCCGGGCGCCGACCACGGCGGTCAGTCCATAGCATATGCCATTAACGGACACGGCACCTCGACCAATGCAAACGAGATGGATTGGATCGAATGGAAATATTCTTATTCTAGCCTGTTGGAAATCATATTGGCCCGGGTGTCACCGCCGACTGCAGAATCACCTCGCTCATCGAAGTGCAGCTAAGGCCGCCAGATCCTCGCTCGTCATCTGATCACCAGCTGTCCTTGTGAGCCTGGACGGTATGTGAGGTGTCCGGCGGGGCGCCTCAGTGCTGGGTCAGATCCTGACACAGTGCTGGGTCAGATCCAGCAGTGCAGCATCGGCTCAATGCTGGGTCAGATCCTGGCACAGTGCTGGGTCAGATCCTGCAGTGCAGCGCCGGCTCGGTGCTGCGTCAGATCCTGCAGGCCGCGCCGCCTCAGTTCTGGGTCAGATCCTGACACAGTGCTGGGTCAGATCCTGCAGGCCGTGCCGGCTCGGTGCTGGGTCAGATCCTGCGGGCCGCGCCGGCTCGGTGCTGGGTCAGATCCGACGCATGGCCTGGGATTCTGACCGGCAGCCCACCAGCCACCGTTTCTTCCACTCAGGCACGTGACCAAGGGGCGCGGGTTATGCCTCTCCCCTCTACCGAGGCTCTTGAGCCACCGAAAGGTTACAGTAGATACTGAGCGAATCGGCATAAATTCCGTCCAAATTCGCGGAAATCCGGACACCGTGTCACATTGCCTCGTGAGGATGATTCCCTGTGAGGATGATTCTGGTCACGAGCCTGGACCCTCCGCGTGTTGCGCAGTCGTGACCGTGGGCGGTCAAGCGGGAGGCACCACGACGGCGGGCTTTCCTGTGACCATGCAGAGCGGCTGCAGGGTCGCTACCCGCGCCTCGCCCCTTATTCGGGCTCAGGGCGCGCTACGACGGCTGCAGCCGCCGGCCGGCGCAGCGGGCATTAGGCGAAATGGGGATCACGGGTCACCACTGTTCAAAGCTGGTGTGGAACTATTCGGCTAGATCTAAGCTGTTTTAAATACATATGTCGTGTTATTTGTTGCCAATGCCGTCAAGGCTCAGTCAGTATGTTGACGATTGAGCATGTTCTTTGATGTTGTATTACAACACTTCAGATGTAAATTCGTGATATTCGCACTCGGTGATTATGATGCAAGTAACACACTTAAATGGTGCAACCTAATTCTAAGTATCATGTGTTATTAGCAGGCACAGTTACCTGACGGGTTTTGCTTATTGCTACACGGATAGCTAATTTGCACCTTATAGACGTGGGTACAATGGCGGTACATCGAGCCACCTGGACGAACTAACACGGAAACGATACAAGATCGTGCGGCTATCACGTAAACAGCATCGGACCCCGTTCGAGCTCTGACTATGACTGGCGCTTTACGCTAGTCCATCCCGGATCATCCGTGGCCATATAGTCTTCCATCCCGGTTGATCTGTGGCCATACAGCCATCTTCTGGTCAGCTCAACCATTACTCACACTTGTGTAGTAGGCATCACCATCACTCGCACTTTCGTAGTAAGCATCATCGTCACTCACACCGGCGTGGTAAGCGTCACAATCACTCACACTAGCGCGGTAAGCATCACCAACACTCACACTGGCGCGGTAAGCATCACCAATACTAACACTAGCGTGGTAAGCATCACCAACGCTTTTGGCTCTGCCGACGCGCGCCGCACCGATGTCGTCGTTAGCCAGCAGCATTGGTTAAAGCACTCGACTTGCGCACGCACACAAACGCCGGTGTCAAGAGCACACTCGTAACATGACTACATGTGCCGCTTGAGATCCTAGGTCACGTACCTCACCAACCCCAACGACCCAAGAGCAGCAGGGGCTCGCCATCCCGACCTTCAGTGTCTCGGGTATGCTGCGCTGTCACGATCAGTGCAATGCCCAGAGCGGCTCATGTCCAGGGCAGCTCCCGCCACCCGGGTCGTCCGTGACGGGTCGTCCGGCGTCCCGTGACGACGCCGTCACGCCGACTGGCTCGTCAGCAGCGTCTTCTGCCAGAGCCGGTCGGCCAGCGCCGCCCAGCCGCCCGCCTCCGCATCCATGTGGCCCACCATGTAGGGCAGCGGCCGCGGCTGACGGCTCGCCGCCCAGTGCCGCAGCTCGTCCAGGTCGTACGTGTAGCGCAAGTTCATGTAGAAGTGCTCGACGCCGGCGCGCTCGGCCGCCAGGCCGGTGACGAACGCGTCGTCCACCCAGAGCGGGTGGGGGTCGCGGCGCGCGGCGCGGTACAGGCGCGCCACCGTCTCGGGGCCAGCCAGGTACAGGAGGCCGCCGCAGAAGCGCGGGTAGCCGGCGGCGGCGAACTCGTCCGGCGTGACGGCCCACTTTCCGGCGCGCTGCACGGGCGTGCCGGCCGGAAGCACGTTGCAGACGAGCGCGCCGGGTGCCGCGTCGCCGTGCGTGCGCCGCATGAACCGCACCAGCTGGAACACGTCCAGGTACGCGTCATCATCGGCCTTCACGATGAAGCGCGCTTGCCCGCAGTGTGTCAGCATCCAGCGCAAGCTGACCAGGTGCTTGACCGTCAGGTTGCGGTAGGTGTCGACGAAGTCGGCCTGCACCAGGTCGCCGTGGCGGCGCGCCTCCGCGTCCAGGTCGGCCTGCAGGGCCTCGGCGCCGGCACCAGTCGCGCGGCCCACCACGAACACCACGCGCACGGCGGCGCCGTCCACGTCGCGCACAGAGCCCCACGTGCGCCGCACCACGGCGCGATGCAGCCCGTGCGTCGGCGCCGAGTGCACGAACGCGGCGAGGTAGGGCCGCACGCCGGCGCACGCCGCCTCCGGGCTGTGCAGGAGGCGCAGCCGCTCCACGTCCACGCTCTCCAATCCCGGCGCGCGCTCGCCGACGGCGGCGGCGCTCTGGCGATGCCGCTGACGCCCCTCCGACCCGGCCACCAGGGCGTCCACCGAGCCCGTGGCGTAGAGGATGCCCATCAGCAGCAGCACGTAGAAGGCGAGCAGGGCGATGACGGCGGCCGCGATCTGGCAGCAGCCGAGGCGGCGCGGCTTGGGCTCGGGCGCCGGCGGGTCGCTGTGAGCGGCCATGTAGAGTCGGCGCGGCCGCGGCTCGTCCTCAGGTCGGCCCCAGGTCATCAGCACCACCGGGCCCGGAGGCGCGGCCGCCGGCGCCGAGCGCGACACTGTGTAGAAGCCCTTGTCGCTCCGCTCGGGCATCAGCCGGCACACCTGCCGACCAACAGAGCTGTGTTACTCGTTGCCGGCACACCTGCCGACCAACAGAGCTGTGTTACGCGCTGGACCTTATCACTGGGCAGGATAATGTTTTCTGGCTTGTTCACGGCGGTCGAGGTGGACCCATTAGGCGAGGGCGTCGGGATAATGTACGGTTAATCAACTTAATTACGGCCGTTTATTTAGTGGCAGTCGGGTGGGCAGACCATTAATTCAGCCCCAAGCAGCGCCGCGGTGGCTAGCAGTTGCCGGCAGGTCTCACACGCCCAGGCCGGACCCGCCGGTCCGGTCAGCACGCCCGTCGGACCTCACACGCCGGGCCCAGGCCAGCCGGGCCAATCGCCGCCGCCGCGTGTGACGCCCGGTGGGTGTGAGGCCGTTTCGGGCGGCGCCCGCCCGCCGCCATTGTTCTGGTAATGCGGCGGGGTCGATTCATCACCGGCGTCCGCGTGCAGCTACCTTTGTGCACGCGCAGGCCCGCTCCACCGCCTGGGCCGGCCTTCGGTCGGGAGGCGATCATGGTCTGATCACCGTCGCCGCGGCGAGAGACATGGCATGCCAGGGCCCGCCTCCTGTCGCGAGCCGTCAAGAGAGGGCTGTGTTTGGGGGCGTTGACTGCGCACGGTCCACCGCAAGAAGCGTCTATGGTTTTGATGAAATTCCGGAGCCGAGTTATGGCTAAATCACAGCGTGTGATGCCTGGCTCGAGTTTTATAGCGGGTTTATGAAGATGTGTTTTTCCCCGAGCAAAAACACACGTGTTCGCGCCTCCTACTCACGTCACCACACGGGAGGGCATTAGGGGAATCCTTCCGTAGAGGCCATCGGAGCTAAATGAAATCCAGTTATGATAGCACGTCAAGATCGGACTATGCTTCTGCACGCTATGATAACGCTACCGGTGTCAAACGACAAGCTGTAGAACGTTATTATTCCCGGTTTGCAGAGGCCTACAACGCACAGGCCAACGAACGTTTTGACTCATATACGTACAAAAGACGGAAAGTGTACCTTGCAATGCCGTACGTTTCGCCATCGCTCACAAACACTGGCACACTCAGGTCGTTGGCTTCTCCATGTTCTGCTATCCCCTGACACGGCGTCCGTCGCCGCCCGAGCCAGCGCGTGCAGAGCAGCTGGGGTAATCGCGGGGCGGTGCTGCTGCGTGCCGACACTAATTCTAGAGCGGCAGAGCCGGCAAGGCATAGGGTCCTGGTTTACGGTCGATGCTCGATCCTCGGATGGGCTGGGATAGCTGGCTCTGACGCCACGCCGAGGACGTGTAGTGCCTATCTGAACGCTGCGGATAGCCCATGTGCCCGCCGTGAAATTGTTCATTGCTCATGAATTCACGCACTTTACCCACACGGCTCAGCACATTACTCGGCGGCATCGGCTTCGTGCCTGGGAGGAGGCACAGACGACGATCATTTACCAGTAATGTTCCAGACGAGCAGCCGCGCCGACATCTTAATGTTCTCAGCCGTTTAGTGGCGCCGCGCGGCAGTTACGGACTCATTTCGCGCCGCTGCAGAAGTTCCACGAGTCATCGGCGGGAGAGGAGCTACCGTCCGCGCGGACGGACGCGGACGCCGTCGGCTGTTTAGCGACCATTCATCGCGCCGCGGGCGACAATTACCGGCCAGCGCGTGGCGGGCCCCCCTCGGCGACCGGCGGCGATTTGTCCAGCGCGGACGGCGTCGCGCTTCCGGACGGGACGTCCTTGCGCCGGCGGGGCGTCGCCGGGGTGCGGCCGCCGCTCCCACGGCCGGCCCTCTCCGCCGGCCGGCAGTCCGGCCAGCCGAGACAGCTGGTCACGTGAGACGGCCGGCGGGGCCGGGTGCAGCGTCACGGCACGGCTCGGACACGGTGACGGGTCGCGGTGTGGGTGGCCGTGGCCACACTCAGAGGCGTTTCAGCAGCATGGGATCTCCGCGTGCCAGACGCCATGGCCGACCATTAAGACAAGCTTGCACTTTATGAGATCGCGGCAGGTCCGGGATCTAAGATCTTACACCGCAGAAGTCTAAAAAATAGTTTCAAAATCCAGGTTTACCCGGATACCAAAGCTTCCATCCTGATCAGGCACGGCGGAGTGGTCGCACGTCATGTTGTCTCCCCCTGGCTGGCTTCGCGTCCAGTTGGCCCCGGAGCTTGTCCTCCGCTGCACACGCTCTAGCTGCCCGCGAGCGCGCTTGTTTATGCGCCGTCACCGGTGAGTGATGGGGTGGCCGGTCACGTGGCACCGGCGCCGGCCGCACGCGCCGGCTCCTCCTCCGGTGGCCAGCGACGCGGCACTGCCTTTCGCTCACCGGGCCAGGTCCGCGCAGGGGTGCCGACACGGCCGGGAGGTAGCGTGGAGGGGACCAGCGCCGCTGCGCGCTGCTGCACTGCACTCCCCAAATCCTGCATCCCCTCCTCTCAATATTCATCTGACTGTCCCACCGGCCTGCGACCGTAGTCTGTTATGCTGAGCAGGTGCCGTGTCCGGCCGTGGTTAGTCTCTCTCTCCACCCCATGGCCGGCGGTCCGACACCGCCCGTCGCCGCCTGGCCGCGACCCCCGCTGCCGGGCCCCTCTCGCCGGCCTTGGCCGATGAAGTCACCTCACGGCGGGACGTTCTGTATGCAGACGGAGCGGCTCGCGATGCACCAGTGAGCACGGGACATCTGAGGTACCTCGGAGCCGCGCTGACGTACCGGTGGCCAGGCGGCCGCTCGCGCCCTCCAGAAGAACGGCCCACGGGAAAAACTGGCCGGCTGTGACAAAAAAAAAGATTAAATATTGGCACAGGACACTGGTATTGAAAAAATATAAAAGTCATATGGAAGCGTATTTTTTCAGCTCTGCGTGCATGTGCCGAGGAATTTTAAATTTGAAATTTGATATTTCTTCTCAAGGCTTGAGGACGCAGTAGACACAGTTCACTCCCGAAGGCCGCGCTGCATCTGGGACGGTCACGACCCCGCCAGTGGCACGGACAGTCCACTCCTGAAGGCCGCGCTGCACCTGGGACGACCACAATCTCGCCCATGGCACGGACAGTCCACTCCCGAAGGCCGCGCTGCATCTGGGACGGTCACGACCCCACCAGTGGCACGGACAGTCCACTCCCGAAGGCCGCGCTGCACCTGGGACGGCCACAATTTCGCCCATGGCACGGACAGTCCACTCCCGAAGGCCGCGCTGCATCTGGGACGGTCACGACCCCACCAGTGGCACGGACAGTCCACTCCCGAAGGCCGCGCTGCATCTGGGACGGTCACGACCCCACCAGTGGCACGGACAGTCCACTCCCGAAGGCCGCGCTGCACCTGGGACGGCCACAATCTCGCCCATGGCACGGACAGTCCACTCCCGAAGGCCGCGCTGCAGCTGGGACGGTCACGACCCCGCCAGTGGCACGGGCAGTCCACTCCCGAGGGCCGCGCTGCACCTGGCACGGTGACGACCCCGCCAGTGGCACGTTCAGCGCCCCGAGACGGGGCAGAGCGCCGCGACGTCTCACACTTCGGCCATTAGGACGCCTCAACAGAGGAGCGGCGCCCCCTTGATGAGCTACTCCTTCCGCACACGCGATGCCAGGGTTCGTGCAACTCATTTCGGAGGTTCACATCGCCAAATTGAAGTGTCGTAACGCCGCGGCGCTGCAGGCTGCTGGCTGATTGCTATGAGTGGACATTCGTACCTCGTTTGTTCGTGGCCATGTGCGTGCGTTCCGACTGCCGAGCACGCTAAAAGGGCATTACTGTCTACTTGCAACTAGCTACGTATGATTGCCCATACTTTGTCTGCTGTTCAATGGTCTGTTAGACATGTTTATTTCCTCCCAAGACAACAAGATCACATCCGTCCGCTCCACAAATACTTCCGCCAAGCGCTGACTAAATTGTGTCCTGTCTCATTTTCGCGTCGTATCTAATTGGTCCTCGCCTTAACTGGCCTTGATCGCCGACTGCCGATTTGTCGCCACATAATCCCCGACAAACCATGACCGATGACATGGTCAGCACCTGAAACACGCCAACATTTTCCACTCGTCGTCCAGCCCCGGGCGGCAAAGCGCCGGGCTAGTAAAGGCGACGACCAAGCAGCGGCCGCTGGTCCGGGTCTCTCGGCGTCCCGCCCGCGGCCTCCGTGGCTCGTCACCGGCCCGACCGCCCGGGCCCTGCGGCAGCAGCCTGACAGACATCCGTCTCCATCGGAGCGCCGGCGCTGCGCCGACGGCGCCGCCGCTGGCCGCTGGAGGTGAGACGAGGGCCGGCTAACCTCGGCGCGCGCGCTGCGCCGGCCGCGGCGCCGCCCCGCCGCTCATGGGTCGTCCCGTGCCGCAGCGCTCCGGGTCGCCGTCGCCGCTGCCGCACGCCAGGCGCGCGTCCAGGATCTCGGAAATGGGGGACAAGCTAGCAGATTGGGGCTGAACGGAGGTCCTCGGCGGATCGTGAGGATCGAAAGGTTTTGCCACATCGCAGTGTTCGAAGGCGTACATTAGCGGACAGGACTCGAATGTTTCTCGCGCCACCCAGGAGGGCGCCCCTGTCGTAAATCACGTCGGATAATACGCATTACGGACTGGAGACGCCAGTTTCATCGTCGAATATGCCGTGATTGTGCTGTCGACTACGGCCCTGTCGCAGATTAGGCAGGATTACAAGCATTAGGAACTGGAGACGCTGGTTTCACCACCGAGCACGTGGTTGTGCTGCCGGCTCCCGACGGAGCGTTTTCGTCATCAGACGCCGGGCAAAGCACGAGATGCTTCCCTTACGTTTCAGAAGGATTTGCTGCGCTCGTTTTTGTCATTCTGGCACATATATAGCAGCTTTGCCGACATCGCAAGGTTTGACGTGAGTATTCAGTGCGCAATGATCGCTGTACAGACCAGCCAGCCGTCAGTGCCCGGCCTGAGTCCAGCGGTTGACATACTCCGGTCCGTTTGGACGCTGCCGGTAACTCGGCACGCCGTGCTCAGCGCGGCCGGACCGGCTCAAAACCCTGCTCTAATCAGTAGCTCAGATCAGCGCGGACCCGCCCTCCTCAAAAGGCCCGCTCCGAACCACAAGCTGGACAGGCCACATTTTGGAATATAAAGCAGCGACGCTCGGCGGGACTTGGTTGGGGCACAGCGGGGCAACAGGCCGAGGTCGGAGGGACCCGTCACCGTCAGTCTCCCGGGTCACCGCTGGGCTCGGATGACGGTGCAGCGGGGCAACAGGCCGAGGTCGGAGGGACCCGTCACCACCAGTCTCCCGGGTCACCGCTGGGCTCGGATGACGGTGCAGCGGGGCAACAGGCCGAGGTCGGAGCGACCCGTCACCGCCAGTCTCCCGGGTCACCGCTGGGCTCGGATGACGGTGCAGCGTGGCAACAGGCCGAGGTCAGAGCGACCCGTCACCGCCAGTCTCCCGGGTCACCGCTGGGCTCGGATGACGGTGCAGCGGGGCAACAGGCCGAGGTCACAGCGGCCCGTCACCGCCAGTCTCCCGGGTCACCGCTGGGCTCGGATGACGGTGCAGCGGGGCAATAGGCCGAGGTCAGAGCGACCCGTCACCGCCAGTCTCCCGGGTCACTGCTGGGCTCGGATGACGGTGCAGCGGGGCAATAGGCCGAGGTCAGAGCGACCCGTCACCGCCAGTCTCCCGGGTCACTGCTAGGCTCGGATGACGGCTGCAGCGGGGCAACAGGCCGAGGTCGGAGGGGCCCGTCACCGCCAGTCTCCCGGGTCACCGCTGGGCTCGGATGACGCCGCAGCGGGGCAACGGGCCGAGGTCAGAGCGACCCGTCACCGTCCAGTCTCCCGGGTCACCGCTGGGCTCGGATGACGGTGCAGCGGGGCAATAGGCCGAGGTCAGAGCGACCCGTCACCGTCAGTCTCCCGGGTCACCGCTGGGCTCGGATGACGGTGCAGCGGGGCAACAGGCCGAGGTCAGAGCGACCTGTCACCGCCAGTCTCCCGGGTCACCGCTGGGCTCGGACGACGGTGCGGCGGGTCTGGCGACGTGCTGAGATGCTGGGCACTGTCACCTCTCACCTGTTCCTACCGTAGCAGGAGATGAGAGGGCAGGAGAACTTTGTGAGTTCTTGTCATATCATCTGAAAGCGATGCATATTCCTTGAATCGGATTAAAATGGCGACTTAAAAGTTCAGGTTAACTAGCCCGATCAAAATTGTGTCCTTGTGCGCTTCCAGTCCCGTTGATTGTACTAAGTACCAGTTGGGACACCTTTTAAATCGAGTTGATCTCCCTCGCAATATTCCCTACGGTATTCAGCGCATAGGTTCGAGCTAAAGCTAACGGAGGCACACCTCTCCTCCAATCTGGAAAGCCTGCGGCCTGTAGTGTCTCCGCTGTCTCGGAGGCGGCAGTGTCGCCCGACACATTCCTCCGATTCAGGCTCTCGGCTCCGGCGCGGCCTCATCACCCGGGCCCGGCGCTGAGGGCACACCCGCGGCCTGGTTCCCTCCATCAGCTGATGCGGTCGAGTTTTGATGACGAGGAGCAGTGCACGGGTGTCAAGCGGCCGGGGCCGACGAGTGAACAGACGGAGCCATTCCAGCCTTGTATCCAGGCTTTGTAAAGTCACCAAATTGAGGTGATCCAACATGAAACACACCGAAACGCGCCAGTAAAAGGCCTTGTGAGCGCGCCTTAACAGAAGGATGGTCTCGCAGCTCTGCATTAATATTATTGCAGATTTACTGTGCGCTGCGGTTTTTAATGTTTGGCCACGAAGCAAATCACGCTAGTTTCCCACGCCCGTCAGAAAAATCCACACGTCGGCGTAGCCAGTTGCCCGGCTCGTGCAGCCAGGCCGGCTGACTCCAGCCGGCCTGCCGTCAGCTCCGCCGCGACAGCCAGGACGGGGCGTGTTGGCTTAGCAACAGCCAGGCTTGGACGCACTAACTTTGCGACAGGTAGACCGGAGCGCGTTGACTCCGCCGCGACAGTCAGGCCGGGGCGCGTTGACTCCGCCGCGACAGCCAGGCCGGGGTGCGTTGACGCCGCCGCGACAGCCAGGCCGGGGTGCGCTGACGCCGCCGCGACAGCCAGGCCGGGGCGCGTTGACTCCGCCGCGACAGCCAGGCCGGGGCGCGTTGACTCCGCCGCGACAGCCAGGCCGGGGTGCGCTGACGCCGCCGCGACAGCCAGGCCGGGGCGCGTTAATTGAAGCGAGTCCGCGCATCTCACGCCACTTCTGCGCCGCGAAAGGTGGCCGACGGCTCGTGACACGAGCGGCGTCATCCGTTCGTTAGCGCCATTCTGCGCGTACCGGCCGCGAATGGGCGCCACTGTAGCGTGTCCAGCGACGGCTCTGATTGAATATCGGCCGCCGGGGCGCCGCTCGCCGCCGCTTCCGCCAATTGTGGCCGACGGCGGCGGCTGCGGTGGGCTCGGTCGGTGGCGGAGGACAGAGCGGGCGGCGGAGGGGCGGAGGGTGTGTTGTGGCAGGTGGGCAGGCCTCCCTCCTCTTACCAAGGGTCTGACTCGCCCCTGCTTTTATCTCATGGAAACTGACGGCACCAAGGGAAGGACGTGTTGCCATCGACATGAGCGAATTCCTTCCACTTTCAGGCACATAAATTTCCTTGCACGGGCGTAACATGAACAGCAGCATGCCAAAGTCCGCAAGGGCGGACTTACACGCTTTTTCGCCATACGGCCAGTCATTCTCCTTATGAATGGTGACCGAAATCGTGGCTCACTCATAGTAGCCAGGCGTTGCATAGAAAAATACATTGAACAGGAAGTGACACGACATTGTTACCTGCTGAATCGACATGTCTTTCGAGCTACTGGCAAGGAGCGATGGTCACACATAGCCCAGTGCTGCCCACAGTCAGCTGCGAGGGCCAATGACTGCACCAGAGGCGCCTGTTCTACGGTGCTCAGACCAACAGCCGTCAGGGAGCATTATCTGTTCGGCACGGCGACCATCCCAGTCAAGCTGCCCCGTTTCGGCACTGCCGGCTCCCCGCCACTCTCCGGCAGAGGTAACCAGTGGGGCACAGGAGTCAGCCCCACCACCAATCCTGCATCACGCGGCTTACACAGCACAGTGGGCGATTTCGCAGGGCCTCGGTCCAAATGCGCGGAAATCTTAAAAACTCGGTATTTCCTCCTGAAGGAAATATGACATTTCTTTTAAAATTTGGCTCTGCCCCTCACGCCGTGGAGAATCCTGGCTACGTGCCTGCTCCCCGGCTATCGACGGTTAGCGAACCGCCGCGAGCTGTCCTCACCCTTGTCAGAGTCTGACTACCGTAACCGTGGAGCTCATGCCACGCCCACCCCCGTGTCAGGCCGGTCGCCCACACCTGGCGAGGACGGGGCACGTGACAGCGGCCGTCCCCGCTGCTCGGCCACGGCCGGGCCGGTGTTGGACGGGGCACGTGACAACGGCCGCCCCCGCCGCCCGGTCGCGGCCGGGCCGGCGTGGGAGCGGCCCGGTCAGGCGGCCGGCGGCCAAGACACGCGTCCGCTCCAGTCCTCGGCGGCGCCGGCGAGCGGACCGCCCCTCCCCCCCCCCCTCCCCGGAGCCGCAGGTGTCAACCCGGACGGGATCGGGTCAGCCAGGAGAGGCTGGGCGTGGTCTGACGTCACGAGCTCTGAAGGTCGTCTGCGTAGGTCAAGGAGGAGAGGCTGGACAGACTCTGGCGTCACCGGAGTGTTACGTACAGCTGCAGCTACAGAGGGCTGCGAGGGACGGTCGGGCGGGGTGACGCTGATATCAAAATGACCCCGCTTGGCCAATTGGAAGGCCAAGGGAGCCTTGCACCCCCCGTCCCCCTCCCCCCCCCCCCCCCCAGCTAACAGCTTTGCTCTGGATATTGGGCGATTTGCGAGAATTTATATCAAAACTGCATTATTTTTTAAGATTTGGCATCAGTCGACCCCTCTAACCCGATAAAATTTTGACCACCTGGCCGGTGGCCAGCGAGGCAGCCGCGCAAACCCTGCCATAAGGTCGGCGAGGCAGCCGGGCAGACCCTGCCATGATGTCAGCGAGGCAGTCGAGCAGACCCTGCCATAAGGTCAGCGAGGCAGTCGGCCAGACCCTGCCATAAGGTCGGCGAGGCAGTCGGGCAGACCTTGTCCTTGCAGAAGTCTGAAAGGTCATCGCTGGGAGGCTCCTGGCCATGACAACAGCAGCCGGGCAAGCCCCATCGCTATGAGGACCTCACACCCACCCACGCAGGTGAGCGCCGCACCGTCGCGTGCTCCGCCTTATCCCGCCAGGTGACGTCACTGGGGTCCGGCCCAGCGACTGGCCGACGTCTGACGTCACCACCGTACCTGCTCGTCGATCCACGTGCGCAACGTCATGCCGTTGATGCTGCACGCCGCCGCAACAAACGGCGTGGCCGGGCGT